AGCAATCGCGGTGTTTTCAACCTCCTCATGGCAATGCACACATGGAACAAGACCTTCGCCAATCCGTTTGCATACGACGCAATTCCATCGAGAGTGCTCATACAGGTCTCCATATTCGTTTCGGTATTCTTCATCGATGTTTGGCATAGAAGCAGTTATAGAGTGTTGACGTGGACTTGGTTCAACAAAGCAAGCGGTTGGACCGATAGGACGATCAAATACAGTTCGTCTGTTGAAAAGTGCACACTCCACATGCGCCCATGTGGAATCTTTCCGATTTGACACGGAATGAGAGCTCAAAAAAAAAATACAAAGCCCCCCGAATTAATAGTGGAAATTTTAAATTTCTTGTCAGCACAAAGATCACAATTGACTTGTTTGATATTTACTTCTGGGTTTTTGTCTTCATCTATTTTGTTCCGCACTCGTGCTTGAGCCAACAGCTGTGCCGTCTTTCAAACCGATTTGATTCAGACATCTGTTTTTCGATACTAGAAATATGTTTAAAAATACGATTTCATGCAATACAAGGAGCTCATGACAGTCAAGACAATAGAAATATGTTGATCAAAACCCAAAGACTGATGTTTGTCCGATAATTGACTAATTCGATGGCAAGGTCATCAACAACATGTTTTTGAAAATTTCCTTGTAAATAAATACCAGGAAAAGATACCTTTAGACTGACTTTATATTCCAAAAACTTTTTTCCTCTTTTTCTCTCCTCCTCTTTCTCTCTACTTCGAGCATTTTTTGTTTTTCTTCCTGCTCTCCCCCTCACAATGACTCTTGAGCACTCTTTGCCGCCCAGCCATTTTGGTTTTCCTTTTCATTTTATTGTTTTCAAAGGTTCCGAACAAGCATAGTTTTTTAATGTTCCGCCCGTTTTCCATTTCGTTCCCTATGTCTCTTCAAAGTGCACTTCACTCAGTTTATCCGTGATGAATACGAATAGATCGATACATGTCGGGAAAAGAAGGGACATCGCCTTTTTCTGGCTTCTCCCTTTTGCATCTAACGCATTGGATTCTATCGATTTCCATGCTTATTCACATCCGAAACAAAAAAGTTTTGCTGATTTCTCCCACACATGACACATTCGTCTGCAACATTTCCATCTCCATATTTCATATTTTTATCAGAAGAAATTGTACTCCTCTCGCCTTATCTTTCACCTCATTTTCACCCCATTGTCACCTATCGGCTTATCAGAGCCTGTTTCACGTGTTACAACACATTTTCTGGTGCCGAAAGTTCAAATCCTTGGCCATTTCAGAGCCTCCAAAGGCTTCCTGGGTTTTTCAACCACCAACAACTTCCAAACATGCTGAGTCGGCTCTCACCGGCGAGGTAAGCTATAGCTTCAACTGGATTTGTTATTCCAATATTTGCAGCATTCGCCGTCTATCCTCGACAGCCAAATGCTGTAGTGACAAAAACGAACCGGACTTTTCTGATCCAAAAACGCTGGCTCTTCACAAAATGTACCGTCCCGAGCGTATCACTCCATCCAAACGTGGAATCGATTTGCTCAAATCTCCAGGGCTCAACAAAGGAATGGCATTCTCTCTACACGAACGTCAGTATCTTGGAGTTCATGGTCTTTTGCCACCTGCATTTATGACTGAAGAGCAACAAGCATATCGTATCATCACTAAGCTCCGTCAGCAGCCCGACAACCTGGCCAAGTACATCCAGCTCGATTCTCTCCAGGATCGTAACGAGAAACTCTACTATCGTGTCCTCTGTGATAACGTCAAAGAGTTGATGCCAATTGTCTACACTCCAACTGTCGGACAAGCATGCCAACACTTTGGATTTATCTACCGTAACCCAAAAGGACTTTATGTAACTATCAATGACAACAGCATCAGTAAGATCTATCAGATCCTTGCCAATTGGCACACTGAAGACGTTCGGGCTATTGTGATCACTGATGGAGAACGTATTCTTGGACTCGGAGATCTTGGAACATACGGAATTGGAATTCCAGTCGGAAAACTATCTCTCTATGTTGCCCTCGCTGGAATTCGTCCAGAGTGGTGTCTTCCAGTTATCCTGGATGTCGGAACTGATAACACCGAGCTGCTCAACGATCCATTCTACACAGGATTGCGAAGAAAGCGTGTCCGTGGTCCAGAGTATGACACTCTTGTTGACAACTTCATGAAAGCAGCAACAAAACGATTTGGAAGAGATACTCTCATCCAGTTCGAAGACTTTGGAAACCAGAATGCATACAGATTGTTGGATCGATACAAGGGCGAGTATTGTATGTTCAATGACGATATTCAAGGTAAATCTTGCTTTAATAGTTTCATTTTCTCAATTATTCCAATTTTCAGGAACTGCTGCTGTCGTTGTTGCTGGTCTTCTTGCCTCAACACGTGTAACCAAGAAGAAGCTCTCACAAGAGAAGATTGTGTTCTTGGGAGCTGGAGGAGCTGCCACGGGAGTTGCTGAAATGTGTGTTCGCCAAATGATGGATGAGGGTTTGACCGAAGAAGAAGCGTGTGGCCGAATCTACATGGTCGACATCGAAGGACTCATCACCACTTCTCGTATCAAGTCTCTCGGAGAGAGACACGTGAAGTTCGCCAAAGACCTTCCTGATACCAAAAATCTTCTGGAAGTTGTGAGAACTGTGAAGCCAGGAGCCCTGATCGGAGCATCAACTGTGGCGGGAGCATTCACAGAGGACATCATCAAAGAAATGGCTAAAAACAATCCACGCCCAATCATTTTTGCTCTTTCAAACCCAACTAGCAAGGCTGAATGCACAGCGGAAACTGCTTACAGATGCACTAATGTATGTCTTTGAAAAATCGTATTGATTTGTAGTTTAAACTTTTCAGGGAGCCGTTCTCTTTGCATCAGGATCTCCATTTGAGAACGTGGAATTGAATGGGAAACTCTTCAAGCCGGGACAAGGAAACAACGCCTACATCTTCCCAGGTGTGGCACTTGGAGCTGTTCTTTTCGCTGTCAAGAATATTCCGGATAAGCTATTCCTTCTTGCTGCACGTATGGTGGCTGAGGCTGTATCTGAGAAATCGCTGAACACCTATTCTCGTGTCTACCCTCGCCTCAAAGACATTCGTGAACTTTCTGTAAAGATTGCCGTTGAAGTTGGAGAGTATTGTTATCGTCACGATTTGGCAACATTGCATCCAAAACCGGAAGACATGGTAGGACTTTATTTTTAGATTAATTTTTCAAAGTTTCAAATTCCAGGAAATGTTCATTCGCCAAAACTTATACAGTGTTGAATACGATGAGCTGATTAATAAAACCTACGAATGGCCAGCCAAGGATTCGAAACACGGATTCCCAGTTCCAGTATTGAGAAGAACCTCAATGGACGAAGAATAAAACTTTTTTATGATTTTTTTCCAAACTTTCTTCCTTTTTGTCTCATTTCTCTAGTCTCTCTTCAGTTTTACCGTTGTTTTTTCTTTCTGTACCCAATATTATTTATCGTTTTCGCAACCGCACCCAAAATCAGTCAAAGATTTTTATTTTTTTCCCTCTCTTTTTCTTCTTCTATGTGCACTATTCTTCTTATTCTTAAATGACCTACGTGTAAAGCATAATCCCGGATTTAGATCAGTTCTTTTTAAAATAGCTCTAAAAATAAAATCAGTAAATTTTTAGAAAGTTAATATGATGAAGTCAATCCGAATGGGTTTCCAGTTGTCGTAGTTGTCTTTTTCTTATTTTCAGTATGGATCCCAATTCAAACAATATGATTAGTATTCAGAATGTCTCATAATGGCGCAGGAGTGTCAGAAGTGACTGTCAGAGTTCCCATGAACATTGCCCTTGTCAAGTATTGGGGAAAACGAGATGAGCAGTTGATTCTACCATTGAATGACTCAATTTCACTCACAGTCGATAAACTGACAGCCGAGACGACAGTTCGAATGATTCAAGTGGTTGGAGAGAATACGGTAGCCCGCTTTTCTGTTTATATTGTCGGAATAAAAAAAGTGGGACTCGGTGTTTGCGTACTTTGAATCCCGCCTCCCCCATCGACGCTCCGCCCATCGCTTTGCAAGTGCGGCGTGGTGTTTTGGCGCCATTGGGAGAT